GTCAGCACACATACCAGCACAAAGACTGTCACCTACACAGGACAGAAGCGTGATGATCAGGTTTTTGTTTTCTATAAATCTTCAGCATAATGCAAACTTACAAGTGGTTAGACACAAACCTTAGCAACCAAGACACTCCACAGAAATGCCCATATGACATTTCTGAAGTCCAACAGCACCATGTTTTTAAAAAGCAGCGCTGGAAGAGCAAACTTGGATACGAAGTTCCCCAAACCTTTAGCCTGGCTCTCTGTGATGATGTCACCCCTGGGGGGGAATAAATACACATTAACACTAGGCACTTACTACATTTTCCAGCCAATATTCTGGAAAACTTGGCAAAAACATGGTCTAATTCTCAATCACCTACCTGCCTGCTATATAGCCACACAGTATGATGCCAAAGCACTCCAGGAGAGCTGGGAAGAGCTTGTCTATGGACATGTGAGGTCCTGCAGCAGGCCCTGTCAGAGTGCTATGGGAGATGTTCTTCCCATGGATTAGCACATAGCTGTTGGTTGTCTCCATTGTGATGTGGGACAAGGTGATCAGGGAGGTCAGGTGAGGAATATCAGCACACTAAGGGAGGACGCCGAGAGGAAACTATCAGAGGTTAGAGCGATTCAAAAACAGGCAACATAGAAATATAACAGCGGGTAAACTAAAACTAAGAGCAAATTGCAACGTCACGTCTATAGAATTTAAAAAGGGCTTTAGACAAATATGTAAATGAAAGGTTAGCGACTGGTTGAGTCTCAGGGTTACCAGCATCTCTATTTACGCATCCGCGTTACTATAAGCGATGTTAGCACGGTGCCTTTTTTAAAATGCAATATCCGGAAGTCTACCAACGCTGATACAAAATATGCTATTTTCCAAACAAGCACCGTTTCTACTGCCTACCTCAGGTTAGCGCTAGCATAATTAAATGCTAAAAACGAATACGAGGGCGCGGTAACTTTACATCTAACTGAGTGTGCTGTTTAAAATACTTATCGTGCATCATTACCAGTAGCATGAAAGATGGACCATTTTAGTCACGAGGGAGTCCTCTTCTCTTTGTGTTTCAACAACAACAACAAAAAAGTAATATTCCTTTCATACAGCTTTTTAAAGTATGATTGTTACATTAAGAGAACATACCACTTCTAACTCCATGTTATAGTGTCCAGCATAGATGGCCACACTGGGGGCTGTTGGGAAAACTCCATATAAGAAAGCAAAGTTGGACAAACTTGTGTGATTGGCACTCGTGCTGTTCACTCCAGTGTCCAGAATATCCACCATGTCTTTACAGACCAGCG